ACTTCACAGCGGGTGAAACTTGTGATAAAGTCCGCGAAAATAAAGCCCACCCATTTAGAGGGAAGATATGATTGGTCAATTGTACTGTCATTTTACATTACTCTCTCGTTGAGTTACTATAGCGCGCCCTCTGTGAATTTACAGCAGGACCACCTATCAGCTTCTGTCTTCACAAAAAATAGTTTTTTTTTTTAATGTTTTCAAATAAGATTTTTTAGAATATCTTAGGCTCGCCGCTGTTAATAACCCTGTGCTGACCGTCAAAACAAGAGATGCTAAAATGTGTCATGGAAAATACAGCTCAAACTAATCTCTGACTTCGACACAGATCAACACAACTATACTAAACTTAATCCCACCGCATCTCCAGACAAAACATATTTCTTTAGCCAGCAAAGATGTGAAATTCTTCAGGCAGCTACAAGAGAAAATGAAAAACACATTTTTGCTTTTGTAAGCTTTTTCTATAAGCTTTTGAACACAACAACATAGACACATTCATCCAACTACTACTGTTTATCTGTGTTTTATTTCACATCAATGTTATCTGCAAATCTGCTAAGGAACATTTAACAACTGACTTATTTTTGCTCCATTACTTCATTTGTTCTCCTTTCCCATACAGTTTGAATGAACTGTTTCACTTTAGGGTCCAATAGACTGTGAGTCCAAGTCCAACAGAGGATATGTGTTACCTTTCGTAAGCATGCACAGACTCGAGCAAGGTGACATCCAGAACTAAAACTTGCATGCATTAAAACACAATCATGGACATGTCACCAGCAAACTGAAACCATGTCCTTATTCAGAGGGTTAGTTGCTTGGACATTAACACAATGAGAGAAGTAGTGTGAAGTGTAGTAGCCTAGCACTGGTGTGATGCTTTTCTTCTCCTTGTCTTGGTCCCGGTGCTGCCTGTGTGGGTGCCACCCACCCACCCATCTGTGCCCATCGGAGGCCCTCTAGCCCAGAGTCCATCTGGCATCTTCCTCTGTGTCTGTCGAGTTGTCGCCTCTCACGGCCGCCAGCCTTAACGTGCCAGCACTTTATTCACAGATTTCACAGAAGCTCTGAACGCAGTGTACTTAACTGAAGGTTTTACATTAACAATATACTTGTACATACGTTCACTCAAACACAATAATTTAAGTCATAACTACACGGCTCCCCCATTGCTTTGAAACAAAGTTTCCTACCACAGAATTCTTTGATTTTACACAAAAAATCTTTCTTTACACCTCGAATTTGCCACCTAACTAGAACTGATGCTTGTTTCACAGATCCACATTATTATTTTGCATAGTTACACTGTGACTGAAAAGTTTGATGAATACATACATATTAGGTCAACGACTCCCATTTGATAAGATTTCCCTTCAGGGACCTTGATCTGAAAAAAATGTGGTTGTTGGAAGTGGTTAAGACCAGAATTCTATGAGGATAGTCTGACTATTACAGTTTTTACACAAGTTTACAAGGAGGTTAGCGGTTTAATAAGTTCCTAGCGTTGGAAACAGTAGCTACACATTAAAATGTTCACTGCTCTGAAAATCCTACTTTAAGGATTTTAACGATTATGTATGCTTATCTCTCAATATTGCTATGGACTGAATATGAAGCTAGCGCCAGCAGGCTATTAGCTAGCTTAGCATTAACGCTTGAAACAGGTAGCCTTTTGTCGATGAAACAAATGTATATGGTGGTTAAAAGTAAGCTTTGATTAGATGTACCAATATGTGGGATTATACTTTGAATATAAATGTCTGCTGAAGTCTTAATATTTATATGGACTATCCTCTAAATATGAAGCTAGAGCCAGCAGGTGTTTAGCTTTGCTTAGCATGCACGCTGGAAACAGGTAGCCTTGTTTGAATTAAACAAAAATATAACCTGTTAATAAATTAGCGTAACATATGCTGATTAGTGGGTTTAACTTTGGACAAATTTAGCCCGCACTCTCTACTTTCAAACTTTATACAAAGCTAAGCTAACTGCAGACTAATTCGAGATTCATAATTAGCTTTCATAATTAGCTTTCATAATTAGCGATTTCCGAGGCATTGGCACCTAGAGTTAAAAACAGCTTAAGCACAACAGTGGTGGATTAAATATTGTTTGTGTATCCACCACGCAAAATAATCTTACCGCTCTAAGCAATAAAAAAAAGAACTATGGTGAAGTATTAGTGACAGAAATGACAGATGCCCCTTCTATCAACACTGCATCTTCTTTATTTAAGATACTCTTTCTTTTTAATGCTTTGGACACAAATGATTCATAGTCCTAGGTTATATATATACTGTATATAGTGTCCAAACCTTAATGACTTTTGGCCAGTTGAAGTCCAAAAGTGCCAAGTCATTTAAAGTGGACATGCTATATTTGAATAATATAGTGTAGGACCATACCTATATAAGGCATATTTATACTTTTTATTTTTCAAAATACCAAACAGATCATGCATTTTAGCCATTCCTCATTTCGCTCAATTTAACACTGTCTTTTCATGGGCTGATTCTGTGAGAACAGCACCATCTACAGGCCTGGCATATGTACTACAGCGTCTCCAGCGCTTTCGAACGGCAATGTCCGTGGCTGTCTCCTCCTGATTGGTGGAGTTGGCCCAATAGCCGTAGCGCCACTTCTGTGACGTCATAGAAGTGTTCAAATCTGGATCAGTCTGTATCAGATCCGTTGCAGCCCCTTTTTAAGAGATTTGGGTATGGAGGAAAATAGAGAGGGTTGTGTTTTCTGACACTTGGTGAGTTCCCTGGAACACCGGGGAAACATATTCATGTATAAAAGACGTACAAAAGTGCATTTTGCATGATAGGTCACCTTTAACTCAGAGACCTTTTTCCTCGCGCGTCGCTACCAAGCAGTGGAATCTTCATAGAGTCAAACTAAGTGTCAGTGATGGATGATATTAACCAGCCTTTGGGATCAGACTTCATCTAAAGGAGACAACAGTATGGCATATGCCCCGCTACATTTAATTAGGATTTCATGGTGAAAGTGGATGAGACCTCACTATAGTATTTAGTGTGAGCAGAAGGGATCCTGATGAAGACAAGTTGCCGGTTATTTGCATGTCAAAGAGCCTGGAGACACAAAGACAATGGAGGATTAACAGCGACGCATATAGAAACACAGCTGTCAACGTATTGAGTCTGACACCAGCAGCCATTTATAGCTCTTTGTTTTATTACCAGGGGGCCACGGTGCATGTAAGGAATTAAGTTTTAGATTGAAAGAGGAGCCTTTAGCTATTCCGCCATTCCCTCACTGAAAGCGAAGGGGCCCTGGTTCAATCCCCACTAAATGACGAATTATAATATCTGCTCTTATGCTAAGCTAAGCTAACTTGTTGAAATACTGTAGACTCGAAATGTCCAAAGCCAAAAAATACATTAACATTTAGGTCTCTTAAAACAATATTTTTTAAACCTAACCAATAATACGGGAATGTCTTAACTTGTCCGTTGCATACCTTGATCAAGATGAATATTCCAAAGGGAAATCTAGAAAATTAAGTCTACTCCTTTTCCCCAAGCGTATAAATCAGTCTGCTCTCCGTGAATTAGATCTCGGAGAAGATTTAAGAGCCAGCTGTCTTATGAAGTATTCAATCCATATGTCTACACTCCAGTCAGATTGGAAGCAGCCAGTGAAGAATATTTTGACATGTGTAAAATAATCTTACGTTTTTTTTTGCAACAGGATAACAGATTTAAAATGGAATTCAAATGATTTTTGTTATTTTGAATGCTCTTACTTTTTGGAGTGGGAGTTAAGAAAATATATCTTGATGAATATGTGGAGATGTTTTTTTGGATATGGATTAGGTTTTTTTCAGTAATTGTTTTATTCACTTGTTCTCTTTTTTCGTCGTCGGCCCATTTTGGACACTGCCTTTAACTCTAACATGCTTTGCTTTGTATTTTGTTGTTTCCTTCTCAGATATCCCATGAATAAAAGCATCAATCAATTAACTATTAGGCGTGATGTATAAAAAGCATAACTCTCATGGAGGTTTTGGTTACTTCCATCCTCCAAAAATCCTTTATGTCTGTCTATCTTGTAGAAATAAAACATTTAAAGGCTACCAATCCTGATATAGATTATATATAACAGGCAAAAGCAAATTGCAAAAACACACCAGAGGGGGCAGCACTTTCCCAGAAACCACAAAAAACACTTACTCCAGCTTCCTCGAAACCCTTCACACACTATAGATATACACACACACCATGCCATCAGCCTGTTACTCATACTTTCCTGCATCACAATAACAGACCATGTTATTGTATTGTTGGTAGGCAAGCAAGAGGCTTGAAATGGAAAATAAATCGTTTATATTTAAATGTCTTCATGTGTGTAAAAGTGTGTGATGATGCATGACATCCCCAATCTCTCTTTCTTTTGTCTTTGCCAGCATCCCCCCCACCCCCAGCTGTCTCTTATCAGCCTTGTGCTTACTGCAGGTTGTCCTCCAGCTAAAGGCTATTACTACAGGCAGTCTAAATGAACCAAGGGCTTTATTGGACATGTGTACTAGTCTCGAGGGAGTGCTGTCGTACCCGTAGGTGAAGAAAGATAAGCTGTATTTTGCTATAGTATTTGTGGTTTTTACTAAATGTTCAGGTTTAAAACTCAAGTACAACACCATGTTCAAAATGAGCAAGACACCAGACGTATTTCTGTACATAAAAATGGGAGTTTAATTGAAACTTTTGTATAAAAAAAATAGCAATATCCATCCTTAACAGCCATGAGTCACAGCTAAAGTGAAAGGTCTCCGATATGAGGCTGTGACGACTACTGTTCCACCCGGTGTTCATCTTTCCATAGAACTCAAAATTAATCTTGACAGTACAGAAAGCAGATGATATCTCTGATGATTAGCCATTCAACATTACCAACAGTCTTTTCTTTTTTAAAGTAGTTAAATAACATTCAAATGCTCGGTTTCAAATTTAAGTAAACTTGTTTTATTCTGCTTTACATCGACAACTGCTTCAGTGCATCCTCCACATCTAAAAAAACTAAAACCCATGTCGAAATGTAAAAATAAGTTATAGGAATGCAAAACAGGGGCAAAGTAGCATATGTAAAATTTAGAGGGGGTTTTAAGCATAGACAATAAATAAATAAATAACCACAGAGTGTGGAATGTCTACATGTTTACAAATAAATTAAATGCAAACGGGGAGGAAAAATAATGTACACACAAAAAGAGAAAAAAAAATACACTGTACAATATTTGAAAAAAGAAAAATACATAATTGAGACCATGAATATTGCATTGATTGTGCATTTCACACCCCAAAACCCTGAGGGAGGCCAGGGGCGGGGCCACGTAGTGTCAAGCAGTGAGATGGCGGGAGGCAAAAAGAAAAGTCAAGAGGGCCGCACACCCCATAACAGGCATGGTGGGCGGGGTGGGGGTGAGGGTGTGTAGACATTCAGAAAAGACAGGATCCAGTTTCCAAACACCTGTTCAGGCTATTGAGTGAGTGAGCAGCGTTAAAGAGAGCGACAAAGAGTTGAGTTTTTCAAGTATTCCATTGTCAGGGGGAGCCCTCACCTCTTTCTCTCCGAGCTAATGCTATCTTTGCCTCAAGGCTGGTCGTCTCACAGTGATGGAGAAGAGGGAAAAAGAAGCCCCTCCTCCCATCAGAGCACAGGCAACGTAGCCACCGGGCCATGGGGCAAAAACAAAAAGTTGTTGTCAAACCGCCCCCCCAAACACACACACAGAAAAGCAGCTTTCGAAAAAAAGGCACTACAAAATCAAAACATTTAAATAAAAATGATTTTTCTCCAAGCTCTATGAGAGCAGCCATGTCTGAATAGGAGGGCCTTGCCAGCTGCAAACCCAGCCTAGTAACAAAACGAGTAAAATAAAGTTTAAAAACAGGGAAGGGGAAAATAAATAGTGCTGGTAAGACCGCCCATACTGAATTTTTTTTCCCTATTAGGAAACAATAATCAACTGAATGAAGAATAAAAAGAGGGGATGGGGGAAAATAAGATTAGGAAGAACAAATAGTAATAAATTAAAAAATTCCCGACAAAAGAGGAACATTAAAGTACATTTTTTCTCGCCGGAGCAGCGGTGTCAGACCCACTGATGGGCTACAGGCTGCCGGCCTTAAGTCCATTTCATCAAACCCCTTCCGTCCTAACCCCCTTCTTTCCCCACAAAGTCTTTCAGTCCAACAGAGCCCCCCTCAGAGGCTCTCCTTGCTCGAGCTTGTGCTTGACGAAGAGTCTGTGTTGATGGTCCTGAGGCGGATCTCCCCGGCGACAGGCTCCTCTTGTGACTCGGGAGATTCTGCCGTCGTTGTGGTCCTCATCCAGGGATGGTCGCAAATCTGCTCCAGGGTGGGCCGGTCTGAGGGCCGCAGGGCCAGGCACCATTTGATCATCTGCTGGCACTCTGGAGGAGGAGATAGAAAGAGTGATGAGGATGAGGATTTTCTTTCATTAGGCAGCACTGCATCTGACTCAATGTGTATGGATCAATGATATCCTAGTGTGTAGGAAGCACAGACAGCCAATAGAATGATCACATCATCTTTTACTGTACTAGGGCTGTTGCACAAAATGATAACATCTATTATATTTATCATTCATATATCTGTCTACCATTTTGTTTGTGAGGTATTCCACTGATGTAAAGGGCAAAACTATGAGGTGGATTTTGGGCTGTACCACTCATGGTGGCTAGGGGGCGACAGAGTCAGTGTGTATGTGTTTTGTGTTGTTATGGTTGACTTACCGGCTGAAACTCTTCTCCTGAAGTACAGTCTCCCTCTGAGGATCTCCTCGTCCTGCTCAAAGGGGATGTCTCCACACACCATGTCGTACAGCAGCACGCCTAGCGACCATACCGTCGCCGAGCGGCCATGGTATCTATGGAAGCGGATCCACTCTGGTGGGCTGTATACTCTGGTACCTAAAGAAAAAGAGGAGAAGAAAAAGTAGGGAGGTGAGTGATGTTATATAGTATGAAGCAGTACAACAAACACAAGAAGGCTCGTTTTTTTAAAGTTTGTGTGATATAATGAGAATATATAAGGCCTCAGTGCTCAAAATATAGGAACAGCAGATACATTTAATAAATAAAAAGTCCCAAAAAGATTGCATAATAGTAGTAATGCTTCCCTACTTCCTTATACCACTATAGTGACGTGCCTGCGTATACTCTCTCCCTCACTCCCTGTTTTCTCTCCCTCCCCCTCCCTTGTGGAAGGAGGAACTTGGATAACAAAAAAAGGCAACGCGAGCCCATCACGTGAAGCACGACTCGGGTTTCACAACAAACAGATGTTACGTGGCACTGACCTAATACCCACAAACTGTGACTCTTGCTAGCTTAAATAACAAAATAACGAAACCTCACCACCATCTCAAATGAGGATCAATCATGATATATATATATACACATAAAAAAAAAAAACGGGCACTAAGATGTATACACTAAGTCATACCTATCAATCCATAACATCACTACTAAAACACTGGATGCTTTTTAATTTGGCATCATCGGTTGTGATTATGATAAGACCCTAGGCAAGGAAAACCCTCGACCAAAAACAGACCACTGCGTCACACACTCGTGAACGCCTCCATATCTGAATATAGCTCAGCGGAGCATCAAGGGCAAACACTACCCAGCCCACACGGATATGTCTTCAAAACACCTAATTATAAATGCTTATAATACCAATGAACGCAAAAGGAGGAATGGGGTTGCTTACCATCAAAATCAGTGTAGACTGTGTCCTTGAGAATCGCCCCTGAGCCAAAGTCAATAAGCTTGAGCTCCCCGGTGCGCAGATCAACAAGCAGGTTTTCATCCTTGATGTCTCTGTGAACCACACCGCAGCTGTAGCAGTGTCTGACCGCCTCCAAAACCTGGCGGAAAAAGCCCCGAGCGGTGTCCTCGTCCAGGGCTCCCTTTTCGGTGATGAAGTCGAAAAGGTCCTTGACGAGCTCCGGCCTCTCCATGACGATCAGCCAGCCGTCCGCGCGCTCGTAATAGTCCAGCATTTTGATAACTCCGCGAAACGACGAGCTGACCTTCTTTAGCAGCAGGATCTCTAGAGGCACCATAGCACCGTTCTGTAATAAAATGAGGAATAATTAGATGGCCATTCTCCCTTTGAATTAAAAAAAAAAAAAAAAAACACAAAACCCCCACCATGCAGCAGGCAGGGGGGGAAACCAAAACAAACCACAGGAATGACTACTTACAATTGTGCCCCACTCGGTCACCCTCTCCTTTGCAACATGTTTCACAGCAACCTGAAATAAAACAGATGAAATATAAGCAATTGTTTGATTTGTTGTGGGGGGAAAGCATTGTATTTTGATCAAAGGACGCCCCGACTCTCATGGCAGCGGCACATGCAGCATCAAAACATAGATCCCGATCCTTACCGGTGTGCCATCAGAGATCCGGCTGCCGGCGTACACCGTCCCGAACCCTCCACTGCCCAACACCGAGCCCACCTGGTAAACCTTCTCGAAAGACTCCTTTTCCACTTTAACTGCAAATTAAAATGAATATTGTTAAGGTAAGTGCGACATTTTCACAACAAACCACCGCGTAGTGCGAGGTTTAAGTTGATAGCGTTCATTAAATAGCTTGCAAGGGTAGTATTAGGGTTAATAGGCTTCTTAAATAACTTTTCAATCAAATACAGGAGGTCGAAAAAAAGAAGTAACGTACCTGGCTGAAGCTGTATTTTCACTGGTAGATGGTCCATACTCGAAGGGTTGCAAATGTGCGAAAATGAACCAAACTTTGACAACAACATATTCACGCTGAAAAGCCGGCGTAGAGTATTCTTATTCAGCAGCTGAGAGTCCTAATAACCGATGTAGTCACACGAGAGAAATGCAGGTTCAGTAGAAATGGTGGTGCGGACCGTCTTGGTTTCAAGTGAATAGTATATATCCAGCCCAGCAGTGTATTAACTCCGCCGCACCGCACCCGGTAGAGTGGTCTCACGACCGTGGAGCCGTGCACCGATTCCCGAAAAGAGGCATTAAATCTGACTTCTGTGTCTTGACCGAAGCAAAAACAAACGAAAACAGTCCCCTGAAGTGATCAAAAAAGCCCGTGCACTCCGATGTGTATGGTAGCCGTATGGAGAGTGCGTTTAAAGGGCCTCCGCAGTGTGTTGTTATCCTGAAGAGTGGCTGCTGTCTGAGCTTTGGCGCGGTCTCCCAGAGCCAATATTTTGACGCGAGGTGGGATTCTGATATCCCTCCGCCTCCAATACAAGTCGACACGTTCGCTTAATTACAGCTCAAAACCGCCCCTTTTCATTAGATAAAACAAGACATGAAACCACTTGCTACATGTTGTGATTTTAAAATCCTTTTGTTGGATTTTTGTATCAAAATAATCATTTTTATAGCGCACTACTTTCTTGTAGTACGAGACGCCCATGAATACCTTGTCTGGAAGCTTTGCGCTGTGTTCACTATCGACTCGGGGGCACGACCAATAAGAAGCCGTATATAAATACCGTGTTTCGTATCACGACCAATCCAGAAAAAGTTTTTATAATAAAGCAGGCATTTGAGCGCACGTGGCGGCAATTCTGAGTCGCCCTAACCCCTCCCTTTCCTCCTGCAGCTCTGCAGTGAGACAGACAGAGATGTAAACTCACTTTTTTGTGTGATTCACCACAGATTGCTCTGTCTTCTCAAGTGAAAATGTATACCTTAAAATCCCTTGTGTTATTTGTTTACCTTTTGTAAACCAAAAATACAGTGCCTGTTGTTATCATCACACACTTGGGACCCATACTTTTGTAATTTTTTTAAGAAAGTTTGGGCAAATAACAAATATATTAATAATGTGGTTTTGTTATACATTTAAATCAACCTCTTCAAGTGTCCTAGCCAAGATAGGAATAACAATGAGTTAAAGGATAGCAAAATACACAAAATGTAATAAAAAACAAATCTAAAATGAAATGTCAGTTTCCTAAAACATGATTAAAACGTGTTATATCAACAACAATAATAATAATACTATTGACTGATAGAAACTGCTTCTCTGGCAGATTAAAACAGCCCAATAACTATCTAAAACGTTTTTCATACTCTAAATAATATAAAATATCGTTTAAGAGGCCCTCAAGACAGATGCTGGACATGCATTAGTGCAAAAGGTATTGATGACTGTCCAAAGATGACTGCAATACTTACATGAAACACAGGGATTTGAATTATGATAAAACTAAAAACAATGTCATAATTATGAAAACAAAATAGCACTTAAAAACACAATCAGGTGGCCAAGGTTTGGGAAGCCAGCTGTCCTTTTGCAGAAGGTACACTTTCCAGTCCTACTGTCACACATCTGACCTGACCTTGGCTCTCTGTGAACTCTCCACTTTGTATCTTCTGCTACCTCTGATAACCTGTGTGTGTGTGTGTGTGTGTGTGTGTGTGTGTGTGTGTGTGTGTGTGTGTGTGTGTGTGTGTGTGTGTGTGTGTGTGTG